TTTATTTATTTATTTATTTATTTTCTTTGGCTACCAATCCTTTATTCGAGCAGTGGAAATGAAACCAAAGCTCATGCAGATATATTAAATGAGCAAGAAACACGTCATTAGAACTTTTTTTAACTTTTTGTCTAACGTAGGGACAATTGCAAGCAAAAATTGTCCCTGTTCTCCAGGGAGGGAGAGACAAAGGAAAGGCAGCTGGGTAGGCCAACCAGAGTAAGCCTCCAGTTTGCTGCGTTCTACTTAAAGGCGGTGTAAAAATGTGAGAGAAAAACAGGAGTCCGTAACAACACTAGACGACAAAACAGATAAAATAAATTACGGCTATAGCACCGTCTAAGTGCTATGCCTCAACATGGTAGACGCGAAACCTTAACACTTTACTTGCACGTTATGCGAGATAGGCAAGGCCTTCAGGACATGCACATGACGGTAAACACTTTTTTCTCGAAAACGCGAGCAATAAAATACGCGTTTGCTCCTTGGAAACCAAAGCGCGTAAATATCGCTGCTTCAAACTCACATCACCATTAATTAGCCAGAAAACGTTTGCATTGTAACTATCAATGATGTGGAAGATACAAGTTACTGAATGCTTCCTCTCTGGAGTTCTAGAGCGGAATCAAAAAAATAATGGCCTAGAAACTTGTTCGCTCTTCATTTCAGTGCCTTGGAAATCATGAATTTGATGACGGCCCAAGTAATCTGGCACCATTTCTTGAAAAAATGAATAGGTCGAATGTAATGATTGTTGGAACAAACACAGATTTCTCCAAAGATCCATCACTCAAGAATTATAACCTCGTAAAGTCGGCAGTAAAGCATATTCGTGGCCAGAAGATTGGATTTCTCGGTGCTGTAATTCCTACTACGAAGTACGGCTCAAGTCCAGGTTGGTAACATGTAGACTTTATCAAATACATTCAACAAGTGTGTGTGCATCGTGGTATTTTGTAGGTGCTTTTCTACCAGCTCGTTTCGGAAAAATTCGGGCATTGGTGTCGACTACGTTGGTTGTGAGCGAAAAACCACAATCATGGGCTTGACCGAAAATCGAGAAATATGCAAAGAAAATAAAAAATAACAAAATCTGGGCCGGGTCGTTGATCTAATAAGCAAGTGTTCTGCCACAGAGCCACGTATGCTCAGAAGCACAGTGAAAATAACTTCCTCTGCTTGGAAATACAGTGCAAGTAACTTTCGTGCTTTAGAAATACACGCGTCCCGTATACATGCTTCAAAATGCAACATGCAATATCGCAGTAATAATGCGTGGCACAAGCGTACATTGCGACCAGGAGTCATAAGATGCAAGTATAATGGATTCATGGTTTAAAGAGGAGAACCTACTACGAAAGGCAGACGCGTTATTGCGCCTTTTTCCATTAAGGCAAAATATAGCGCAACCATACTGAAGTGCCCTATTTGGTCAAGGTGCTCACAGTGCATCTTCCAAAGACTGCCCGAGCATCAAGAAGGAGTTCACTATTCTTAGGCAAATAATGCGAGACAGCTCTACACCCAAGTAGGCCGCTGAAGAAGTCCGGCGAAGACGATGACGCCACTGTCGAAGGTCTTCGCGAAGAACACAGTCAACTACAAGAAGTAAGTCAACGCATCTGGGAACGGTGGCCGCAGCAGTGTACACCGCGGCGAACGCAGACGATGGAAGAGAGAAAACGAGTAGATATTTCTCTGCTGAAGAGTGGTCGCCACTTACACGCACGCGACTTGTGGCAGAAACACATCAGAAGCAGCCATCGTCAGAGCAAACTGCGATAACACTGGAGCAGCGGAACTAGAATAGGCAAGTGATTGCTCTTCTACGACTCTTAAACAATGCCATTCGCATGGTGTTAAACAACATGCACACAACTTAGAAGTGTGGCAGTTTGGGCTAGTTGGCATAGCATGGCGATAGTTATAGCGCGAGAACAGAACGACGAGAAAGAGACAAGAAAGACACAAGCGCCAACTTCTAAGTTGGAAGTAAGCGCTCTTGTCCTTCTTGTTTCTTTGCAGTCGTTCTGTTCTCGCACTATAACTATCGTCATGCACACAACGTCAGCCACAAGTGCACGTCAAGTACTGCACGCTCCGAGTCCAGTACTGACAGCTCTTGAGTATATAATGGCTCACCAGCCACAGTCTTTCAGGGAAGAGGTCAGAAAAGCAACAATTTTCGAATGCGCAGGGACTGACATCACGCATTGTAGATTTCCATCGGTTAACTTTCACCAATATGTTTCTCATCATCGTTATATGCGAGCCAAATTTATTGAGCGCTATCAGACTCTCCAGATACGAATCATTTATGTCGGCTTCTTTCAGTGGAAACAGCAAAGTCCTGCTGTTTATTCGCCGTGACCTGACTTACATTCTTCAGTCTGTACCACCTGACAATGATAACCAATATGTATGCTTAACAATGAAGAAAATGGGTCTTACTGTCCCTGTTGTCAGTGCTTACCTGTCGCCATCGAGTAGTTTTGCCCACAGAAGACTCGGATACATCCTATCATCCACTTCTGGACCATGGGTCATCATCGGGGACTTTAACGCCCACCATACGTTATGGGGGAGCCAGAAAATCAGCGCAAAGGGCTGAAGTCTGATAACGTTTGCTTCAGAAAACAAGCTGTGCTTGTTAAATGGTGGCAGTCCCACATTTTCACGTGGGCCTGGATACAGCAGCTGCCTTGACGAGACTTTCGTTTCTCGAAGTCCTGTCAGATGTGTCGGATGGTTTGCGGGCATAGAAACACATGGGAGCGACCGCAGTCCCACATATGTGAAGATCACAGGATTATCACCTTACAAGGTACGCGACACTATCCAAAGAGTGCACCAGACCAAGTTCAAATTTTTCATAGAAGAACGATGCCAAGAGAACACCTCCCTTGACTTAAAAGAGGTAATCAAGGGGACAGTGCACCACACGCTCTTCGAGGGTAACAGAATTTTATGTAGAATCGAAACCACTTCCGGCTCTCCGACGACCTTCAGAACGACAGTATCGACGCACGAAAACAATCTGCGATTTACAAACCACTAGACGCCTTCAGAAGAAGGTGCAACGCTGCGCAGACAAGCTAGAGTCACAATGTTGGGCTGCCTTCTGTGCGTCGTTAGATCCCCGCAAGTCTTTATCACACCTGTGGAGGACAGTAAGAGGGCCCCGGGCAGTTCCCCTTCAGCAGTCTCCATTCAAGGCTCTAACCCCCTCTCAACAGCGATCGGAGGCCTACGTGGCAGAAAAGTTCTGTGCCAAATTATCTGGTCAGCTCACAGATCCCAACATGTTCACGCCTTCACGTGGTGGCACGACATCACGCGATCACCGCATGGACCTACCTTTTTCAATTAATGATCTTAAAGTAGCACTGGCTTTGTGTAGATGGTCATCAGCACCTGGTCCTAGTGGAATATCCTACAGAGCACTGTGTCACCTTGGTGAGCATGCGAGAAATGCCCTCCTCAAGATATGCAATGATTCGTGGCGAGAGGGCACCCTCCCAGTTAACTGGAAGGCCAGCCGTTTCGTTCCCTTACTGAAGCCTGGCAAGTCACCATTGGTGCTCACATCGTACCACCCGATTGCACTGGCTAGTTGCTTGGGCAAAGTGATGAAGAGAATGGTAGTGATCGCTATAATGGTGCCGGGAACATCACAACGTCTACCCAGACGCTATGACGGAGTTTCCCCCTGGCCGATCATGAATTAATAGCGTCGTAGGCCTGGTCAACTACGCGCAACACGAAAAAGGCCGTAAGTGTCTCTATGCCTCTTTATTTTTTATGTTAAACGGGTGTATGATAACGTCACCCATAAAGCTATCTTCGCCGCTCTCAAATATGTATGAGTGGGCGGTCGGATGTCTCAGTGGCTACGCAGCTATCTCTTTGAGGGATCGTTTTTCGTGTGAACCGAGGACGGTGACACTTCGCTGCATTACAGCCGCCATGATGTTCCCCATGGTGCCGTATTTAGCCCTGTACTATTCATCCTGACGCTCTCCATGAGCATCTACCAAGCACTGTCAGTTTGTGAACGTACGCGGACGATATCTGCGTTTGGACGTCTGCAGTAGGACGTCTACAGCTGCTAGCGGAAATTAAGAGAGCTGCCACTTCATTTGCTATTGAAGACGATAGTCTTTCTTGGGGACCTTCGACGCAAAATTTTTGGTCTGCCTATCTGTTCATTTGTCTGTTTGTTCACTCTTAACGGTACCTTGTACTGTGAACGGCACCAGACAATACCATAAACAGCCGACCCCATCCACAGCGCCCACCAGTGTTGCTCAAGATTCAGCGTTCATACCTGTGCGATTGTCAATTAAAAAGCCATTATTGCGCATATCTGAGGCACCATAACAACACGTATATATTCTGTGTGTGCGTCTTTCAATATAAAAGGCATACATAAATAATTCTAAAGACTATAGCGTTTATCACGCTGCGCTGACCATGCAACACTCGCACGGAAAGGTGAGTGTTTTCAACGCTTTGCTAAGACGACACGGTGGTGGCACCTGCCCGTCGCCTTGCGTTCTACACCTTATCACCTCTGTGACGGGCGCGCACACCCGTCTCAGAGCCACGCGTTTCATTTTCCAAGAAAACTGCCTGATAGCGCTCATGTCTCACGTGTGACGTGACTTGATGCGCTCGTTCGCCTCCGCTGCACGCTCGAGGCACTCTAACGCTGCGCCTCCAGAATACCATTCACAAATTTCTTGCGCAGAACATCAAATAAATGTTTTGTTCACTCTCTTCACACCCAAGACTATCGTCTTCGGACGACATTTGCAGATTAATATGCAAATATGGGGCCAATTTTTTTTACCTCCGTAAACGAGGTCTGGAAATTTCTTCTGAGAATGTGCGCTTGTGGCATTTACGCGCAAAGCAACGGAGAACTTCAGCGTTCTGATGAATGGCGATGTGATACCGTAACTCCAATCGTACATGTTCTGAGGTGTTATATTTGACAGAGACCTCTCATGGAGCCCCCACGTATCATAAATGAAAAAGTGGTTGACAGCCTTCTGTAAGTTGTTCAAGTTCTTTGCCGGAAAGAATTAGGGAATGTCCACAGCCGCTATGTTGTGACTATACAGGGTTCGTTTCTTTGGATTCCTTTGGACAGCCTTTCTGCGTTACCCAATGCAAGTAAAACAAGTTTACGAATGATTAAAAGTGTCCAGGCTCAAGCACAACGGATTTGTCTAGGCTTGCCTCAAAGTGCAATAACAGTGGCAACTATCGCCATCGCATGGGACCACCTCATCAAGACCCACATTGGTGTTGAAGTGCTGAGGACACATATACGACACCTTGCTCGAACTCCTCGACATCACCTAGCCTCTCCACCAGCAGACCGACCACGCACATCTTACTGAAAAACAGTGACCACATATGGTGAGCCGATCCCAACTTCATTCCTTCCTGCTGCTAGACCTGTGACTCCTCCACAGTGCCTGACCCGCCGTGGTGGTCTTCGTGGCTAAGGTACTCGGCTACTGACCCGCAGGTCGCGGGATTGAATTCCGGCTGTGGCGGCTGCGTTTTCGATGGAGGCGAAAATGCTGTAGGCCCGTGTGCTCAGATTTGGTTGCACGTTAAAGAACTCCAGGTGGTCGAAATTTCCAGAGCCCTCCACTATACGGCATCTCTCATGAACATATGGTGGTTTGGGGACGTTGAACCCCACATATCGATCCTCGACGGTGCCTCGCTCAACCAAGTGTAATATTACCAAACCTGGCGTTCAGAAAAAGCCAATTTGTCGTCACCGGCTCTTAACCAGCTCACACTACTTCTGTTGTATGAAAAATAACAAGACTCCACGCACATATACACTGACGGATTGGTTCGGCCGAACAGCTCAACCGGAGCAGTCATGATACCAAGGATGGTCACGACGAATAAATTCAAGACATTCCACGCAACAACATCAACGGCAGCAGAATCGGCAGCCCTTTGTACCACGTTACAGTTTGTCATTGATCAACCTACACGCAAGTTGACTATTTTCTGCGACTCGAAGGCGGCACTGCACTCTATACTATCAGCCTTACGGCCTGGGCCGCACGAGCAGCTGGTACTAGAGATAGCAAAGGTTATATACACCACCTTAGTGAGAAAGCGCACCAAATTACATTTCAGTGGTTACGCAGTCGCTGCGGAATCATGGGCAATGAGTGGGCCGATGAAGCGGCCCGCTCAGCCAATGCAGAAGACTATGAGCTGCTACTACCATTTTCTAGGGCCTGTGCTGCACGGAAGCTCCATTGGCTTGCTCGCCAACAAACTATGTCACACTGGAATCAAGCGCACTTCGAGCAAGCCCGACTGCACTCGCTTGACCCTACGTTAAGTCTTCAAGTCCCATCGAGGCTTCGCCGAGCAGACGAGATCCTTTTATGTAGGCGGTGGTTGGGCGTTGCGTTTACCAACGCGTATACGCTTTCCGCTCGGGATGGCCGACACCGCAGCCTGTGACCGCTGTGGCAACAGAGACCATCTGGAATATATTTTGTCACAGCCTAGAGTATAGTGGACAGCGACTATGCCTTCGCAAGGAACTCAGCAAATTAGATAATCAACCTCTGTCAGATAAAATATTTTACAATATCGACAAGACGCAACGTCACAGAAGCAGGCCCTGCAAGCACTACTGCGCTTTAAGGGGCGAAGCTCCTTGAAGCGGCACGCGTTCGTCAGTCGTAGTAGGGCGTAACATGTCTTACCCTTTGATCTGCAAGGTGGGGCCGGTGGGAGATTTCTCCTGTGCGTTGTTGAACAATAAAAAATTCGCAGCGTGCGCGTTAACTAAAAGCCGAATTCTCCTGTCTCTAATTCCCCCTTAGCAGCCATTGGCATGTATATTGAGCACTATCTGACAAGAAAGGGTTCCTACGTTATACTCGCTGGGCGTAAACTCCTTGGTTTCAGAAAGGTCTAGCGAGCGTTGGGCCGCAGTGCCATGAATACAGTGAACTAGTATATACCATGAACTCGAGGTGGTGAAAGGTGGGAAGTAGACACGAAGCGCAAGCCGTAAGAAAGCGTGCGTGTGCCACCTCTCGTTTAGTCTTAGAATGCCCCCTGGGTGGCGGTGCGGAATATATGATGAAAAGATGCGAGATGGTGGTACGTGGAGTGTTGACTAGATGGACGAACAGACACACAGACAGATGCATGGACGGACGGACGGATGGCTTCACGGACGGATCGACACGTGAATGGGCGCAGAATGGACGCACGGATGGACGTGCGGACGCATGAACACGCGCACGCACGGACGGGCGGATGGACGCACGGTCGGTCACACAGACGGACGCATGGACGGACGGAAGCAAGAACGAATGGATGGACGGATGCTTCGCCCCACTCTCCATCATTCACCCCATGGATATGCTGCCATTTTTTTTTGTGATTGACCGGTCTTTCCGAACGATTGTAGCCAGAACGCCCTTCATGTGTTTATTTCTTAGTTTTCTCCTGAGTACACGTGCGTTTTGTTTTTCCTCTTTCTCTTTGCACCCTCTTTCTTAAACCTATTTCCCCAGCCCCAGTGCTGGGTAGCAAACCGAATGCCAATATCTGGTTAATCTCCCGGCCTTCCTTTCTCTCTCTCTCTCCATTAAGGCCACATAGTGGGTGCATAGCAGGTTCGAAAAGATTTCACGCACACAATTGCCCGTGCTTCAAAGCACGCTACCCATACAGATAATGCAGCCGTATGCGAAAACTTGACTGGCACAAGCCATTTTGAACTCAGTACGCACTATAGGAGCAGGATATTGCTGTCACGTTCAACTCATAAAGGTGAAGCTTAAAGATCCCCCAATTCTTATAATACGTGAAGAACGGTGTTACTAAGAAATGAATCAAATTACTAAGAAAAAAAGAACTCCACAGTCGACGTTCGCACCCTACATAGAATCATTTATATTGACCGCTTTGTAATCACCTCTCATCAGGTCATCATGGAAAGAAAGTGAAGCAAGTAAAAATGGAGCATTTGGCCGCATACTTTCTCAAGGTACTATCCTACACACGGAAGGGAACCAGGGCAGTAAAAGAGAGAGAAATGAAATTAGTCAAGTTTATTAGAAAGCACAGCAAAATCCTTCATGTGTTGCAAGAGAGTTTGTAAATTTTCAAGCTGATTGTCATCATCGTTAGAGTATGTCTAAGACGGAAATGTTCTGTTGAGTGTTATTGACGTTTGTGGCAATAAATTTTTTCTAAACACAGCTGATAAGCCAGCAGCTCAGGCTTGAATTGAACGTAGCCTGCGACGTGAACCTGTCAAAGCGAAACAAGCCCACCGTAGTGCTATGTCTGCAATTCGTAAGTTGTATAAGCTGTTGGCATCGCACCAGCTTTTAGAGCTGCACACTATAGCTTCTGTAGACAATTTCGGAGGCCACAACATGCAGTACTTGACGAGGACGACATGTTCAACGTAATGAGAACTTTTTTGTCTGCTGCCGCAATGTAGTTCCAGCTAGGGCAAAGGCGCTCGCGTTGGCTTCGGAGAGACACGGGTCGGCGCAGTTTGAGCACGGACTAGGACACCACACCACTCTTCGGTCTAACGTTCGCAAGGCGAAACAAAAGGTGAGCGCCCACCACGGGCGCGAAGCGCCGTTGGCGAATTCCGACGAGCCCCGAACAATGGAAGTCGACGGACGAAAAGATAATGCGTGCTCACCGTCAGCTGTCCCGGAGAAATCTGAATAACTCCCCGACGCGCGCGCGCGAAATGTCCCGAGACACTTTGCGCATAGCGCCACAGTAGACATCCGCTACCGGGTGAGAGGGGTTAAACGTCACTCCCCGCTCCCCCCAACGCGGCTGACAGCGGAGGAGGGGAGTCATGTCGGGACATGAGAACGGCAGAAATAGGCAGCAAAGCCCGCGCAAAGGCGGCGGGCTAGCCTCGATTCCCACGTCCCTCTAAAGCTGTGGATCACCTTCAGTACGATTCAGTTTTCTCGGTTATATGACACGAAAACGTCACTCACCTTCCGGAAGAACAAGGTGAATAATCTTCCTTTTTCTCCTGTTCAGCCTTCAGAAAAAATAGGAGCAACACCTCATAATTACAGTTATGAAAGTCATAAATGCAGAATGTGGACATCCATTAATTTTTAAAATTTTATCAATGAGGCGCAATAATATTTGTGCGAGTGCTTATTATTGCTGTGTGTGTGTGTGTGTGTGTGTGTGTGTGTGTGTGGTGTGTGTGTGTGTGTGTGTGTGTGTGTGTGTGTGTGTGTGTGTGTGTGTGTGTGTGTGTGTGTGTGTGTGTGTGTGTGTGTGTGTGTGTGTGTGTGTGTGTGTGTGTGTGTGTGTGTGTGTTCTCAGGGCGAGCGAAAGAACGGTATACTGCAAAGTTTGGTTCCGGTCGCCATATAGATGTTTGGCCATTATGTTAACTGTCTGTCAGCTTCAATAAAATCTGCACATTTATCTCTTTTTTCAGGACCATACGTGGAATTTTTGATGAAAAAGAAGCATTCCGAAATGAAACTAAGAAACTAAAAGAACAAAATGTTAGTATAATCATCGCTATTACTCACAGCGGTTTCGACCGCGAGAAAGACATCGTAAACGACGTCTCAGAAATTGACATACTGGTCGGCGGACACACAAATACGTTTCTTTACACAGGTAAGAAAATAAAAACACCTAGGTCAATGTTCTTACGCTGATTTTTATAACTGTACTTACATTCACATTATACATATTCAATTCAGCGGCCCTCTCCCCGCTTTTGTTGTGCCCTCTCCCCGCTTTTGTTGTGCCCTCTCCCCGCTTTTGTTGTAGGATGCACATTTGTTAATTCCCCAACTGAGTCCAATTGTTCCCCTATAGTAATCACGTAATTGTACATAAATTTTGTCTTTTGGTTTCACTGTGAAGAATCGCCTTGCATCACAAAGTACCTCACTGTAGGTTCTCTGTGGTACGAACTGCCTATGCGAAATTTTCGCGTTTGAACTTAAACATTACAGAGGACAGGCAGACAGAATAAGACCTTCATTGACAAGTGTGTTTGGAGCCCACTGCAGAGCAGGGGCTCTATAATGTTAGATCATTCTGTCATGATTCGTCATGTCAAGAAGGTGCGCCTCGTTCTTTAATGACGTTCAGAATGAGGCACTGTCCAGCTGTCCCAAAAAAGAATGCGCTGTTTAGTGCGCACACATCATTTTAACGCCGCCAGTTTTCGCTATATGTGGCATAGCATAACAAGCAGGTGATCTTATGGCACACTGAAAAATTTTCAAGTATAGCAAAGAAGCGATGGCCAACGGTTTGACGTATTGAAAATAGTTTACTCTCTTAGTTTTACGCAGTCGTACATAGTTGAAGATTGTGCGATGGATAATTTTCGCGCAATTTGTTGTATCGCGTTACGAGCAGGTGCTGTCTGAATGGACAAAAACATTTCCACCAATCACAAAAAGCTAACGTATTATACGGAAAGAAACTATACGGGTTAGTTTAACGTTACATTCGCCCACACGTTACCAAAGAAAATTTGTGCTAACGCAATTTCTATGGGTGTGTTTGCCTGAAGGGGCCGGAGCGGAGGAGCAAAGGGTCACTTCCCCTCTTTTTGCGTGTGTTCTGTAAGTAACAAATAAGTACCGCCTTCATGATCGAACGTCCAGCAGCGTGGTTATATCAAGGTACTGAAACACTCCCAGTCTCTAGTAAACCTCTTGCGCACTGTTACGCCTGGGAGTCCACACGGAACATCATTGCCTGTGCAAAGGCAATCTGTGTCAAGGCCAGAGAGTGAGCCCGCCTGACGCCATCAACTTAGTGACGTTATCAAGCGGCGGCGCCGGTCTGTCTTACGCTAACGCATGGCGAGAGCCCTCTGCCCACGGGCCCGATAGCTGCCCGATGAAGCGATCGGCGTCCATCCAGTCTGGCAAGTCTTACGCAATGCGTGGCAAGATCACTCGTCCTTTGGTGCAACCCAGCTCCAGATTTGAGGATCATGACGCAACCCAGCAGCGGGTCCCCATTGAAGGATTCTGACGCGACCCGGCGGCCGTTCTGATTGGTCGTTGATGACGTAAAGGACCACCTGGGGTCTATAAAGAACCACGCGGTGCTTCGCCAAGCAGCCGACCTATGCGTCAGACGGAAGCCGATCTATGCGTCAGAGAGAAGACATCTTGGCTCTTCGAGTGCCCCAGTGCCGAATATGTAACGCCTCTACTTCTATGCTGTACATATACCTTGTTTAACTCACCGTCGTCTCATCCGCTCGTCTATCAGCTCTGCGCAGAAGCAGACGCGAGCTGAAAAACCTACGCTACCAAACGGCTGGTGACCTTTCCGGCGGAGTTCGAAGCAGTGGCGCCTTCGGGACCGTGTTGGCGTCGCCGTCTTTCGAAACAGTGGTTGCAGCGGTGAGATTCGTAGCGCCCTTCGTAACGTCGTCGGAGGTGGCTTCGGCGGGATCGGCCCGCTTCGCAACAGTGGTGGCAGCGTCGCAACAGTGGTTGGCAGCTGCGGGATCGGCCGGCGTCAGCGACATCGATGTGGTGAGTGCCTGACGTTTTCCCCTCAGTTCACCAGACTACTCTAGCACAGGTTACAGTAGTTTAGAGAAGGGCTGTGTGAAGCATTGGAGTGAGCTTTGATCGTTTCACGCCAAGTCGGAGCGCTTTGAAACCAAAGTTAATGCGGAGGGTGTAAACACGGCAGTGTTAAACATTGCTTGCGCGTCTTGCTAGTCGACTTACAGCGGGTGCAGAAAGTAGATTCTTAACGGAGACAATCAGCAAGAGGCAAATGTGTGAACTATGGAGAACCTTAAAGTGAACGAACTCATCGAAATTTGTGAGAAACTTGGCCTTACTTTGGCCATGCGAAACGAAAGCAAGCGATCCTTGACATCATGAAGGATGAAGGAGTGACAAATGAGGAAGCCAATGAGGCTTGGGGGGATATCAAAGCACACCGCGAGGAGGCTGAAAAGCCTCACAAACGCGAAGAAGCTGAAAGGCGAGAACACCGTGAGGAGGCCGAAAGACAGGAGCGCCTTGAGTTGAATAGAATCGGCAATCTTACAGTGTTCACAGACGCCTAGCGTAGCTTCTGCGACCGTTCAGGTCAGCGGTCAGAGAATTTGGGACCAACTGCCACCGTTCGTAGTAGGCGAGGACATGGCGAAGTATCTCCTTAAGTTCGACTGTGAGCGAAATGTCTTGGAGCGGTCTATTTTGGCGCAGAACGACGTGATAACTTGCTTGTCGAGGGAAGCGTCTGAGAGTTATGACGAGGTTGAGGAAGTGCTCTTGAGACGTTATAAGTTGTCACCCGAGGCTTTCGGGCAAAGGTTCCGGTATGGCAAAAAAGGTCAATGAGTCACACATTGACTTCGCGTTTCGTCTTAAAGCTGATTTTATTCAATGTCTCAATGACGAAGGTGTTTATAGAGTGGTAGAATGTGGTAGAATGCATTGTATTGGAGCAATTCTACCGCTGCATCGAAGATGATGTCAAGCCTTGGCTACACGACAAACTTGGCGAATTGCAGCTTAACAAGATAGCAGAGTTATCTGAAGAGTATTATACTTGCCGAAAGTTGCATAGTAGGGCAGTGCGCGTTGATAAGGATGAAAGAAAAGGGAGCTTTTCAAAGAAACCTGATCAACGGAAACCCACTCCACACTGTAATTTCAGGAAGGACCCGTCTCTTACGAACGACACTGTAGGGGAAGGGCAAACGGAAGCGGAGAAATCGAGTGAGGTTTCTAAACAACGCACTGGTACCACACGGGCGTTTAAATCACGTAAATTGCTAATCTGCTACAACTGCAATAAGGAAGGGCACATTGCGGTAAACTGTAAACAAAGGTTTGTTTTCGCAACAATGCGAGAATCAGAAAAGAACATGCGGTTGTATACAGCCGTATCTCCAGGAAATTAGTGGCAATGGGAAAGCGTGTCGAGCACTTCAAGGCTCAGCGGCAACCATGGACATTGTCCCACCCTTCGTTGGTGTCTCCGGACGACTTTACAGGAGAATGCGCGTGGGTCAGACAAGTCGCCGAAAAGCAGAGTGCTTGCTTACCAATCGCTACGGTTGTCATTGAAGGCCCGTTCGGTAAGCTTTGCACCAAAGCGTCTGTGTCTGCCGTGCTTCCCGATCGTTTTCCTAATCTTTTTTTAATAACTCTGAGCAGCTTCTCAAAGAGCAGGGTAAATCGTTCTTGTCCGACTTAGCGTACATGGTTCTCACGTGATCGCAAGCGCAGAAGCTGTCGCAGGAACTTGATCTCGTTCAGTGTAGTGAAGCACCACCTGCTAAAGAGGCTAATCTGCGTGACCTGGGCGGCGAGGCGATGGTGCCTCGGACAGGAAATTCTCCGGATGAGTCACTCGAGCCACCCGTCGCGGGAGCTCTATCTGTCGGGCGGACCTAGGAGACGACATGACGCCATTGGATGAGAGCGAGAGGGGCTGCAACGCTCTCGCCTGTAGCGGAAAGTTGGAGTGAGCTGTCGAGGGTTGATCGAGAAACGCTCACTCGAGAGCAGCGTGAGGACCTCTCGAATAAAGCGCTAGTGGAAAGCGTGAAATTGGGAACCAAGAGTAAAATCTGTTCTTTTTGTGAGAAATCACGACTCCTATATTGTAGTTACACAGATGTGCAACGTCGCAAGTATGAGCAGCTCTTGGTACCGCATAAGTATCGTCGCCTATAAAGTGACTGGTTACTGGAGTGGAGCATGATACCCCGACAGCACAACTTTGACGTGCGCTACAAAAAAGGAAAGCTAAACGCTAACGCAGACGCATTGAGCCGTGCGTTTTAGCTAGTACCTTCTCCACCTTTCGGTCTCTCGCTGACGAGTCGGGGCAAAATTTTGTCCTCATCACGGCCTTGGCTGAGCGCTCTCGTCCAGAGTGATCTCAAGGGCCAACTTTATGTTATAATCTATTTCATTACGTTGTTGTACGTGCAAAAATTTGAGTTCTTATTTTAAAAGTCTTGTGTCCCACATGTGCCTCTTGATGTAGAGGTAACAAAATTCCGATAGCCACGTAGCTAGGTACATGTTGTACTATACTTTGTCTGGTCTTCTTTCGGGTAACCGAAGGCACTGGCTTGTGTCGTTGGTTGTCTGTTGTCGAATCGTTCTTGACAAGTTGCAGAACCATCGACAAGTGCTGAGACTGAAAATCGTCAGAAGAGACGAGCGAAGCTAGTCGACAAGTTTTGGCGACAAGCTAGTGAAGCTGAGATCCGTCCTCAAGAATGGGATGTGTTCACGGAACTGAGCCTGGAGCTACATCTTCCCCTGGCCCTGGAGGGGAACCTGGAGGGACCTCGCGAATGAGCGCGCCCGACACCCGAGCCACGTGGAAGCAGCTCGTCTTTCTGGCGCATTGTCTGGCAGAGGGGTGCTGTTATGCCTGGGAGTCCACACCGAACGTCATTGCCTCTGCAAAGGCAATCTGTGTCAAAACCAGCCAGCGAGCCCGCCTGACGCCATCAACTCACCGACGTCATCAAGCGGTGGCGCCGGTCTGTCTTACGCAACGCACGGCGGGCTCCTTGCACCCACGGGCCCGATAGCAGCCCGATGAAGCAATCGGCGCCATCCAGTCTGGCGAGTCTTACGCAAAGCGTGGCAACA